ATGGGGGGTTTAATGCTTATATGAGGAATTTCAGGTACTTTCCCTCTCTACTGTAAAGCTATTAAAGTTCACTACAGAACTGTTTGGAATCTTTCCCATGGGACATGAAATCCTGTGAAATAGCTCTACTTCCAGTGAGAACTGATAAGTTTCTCTTGCAGTTGACTGAGATTTTAATGTGACTTGGATGATCTGTCGGTTTTCAGGCTGATCTTCCTTAGACATGCCAGTCAAGGCATTAGTTGACCAAGATCCTCTCTGTCTGCAAAGTAATTACTCTGACCAAACCCTTGGGAAGTGCTTTGCAAAGATTTAAATGCAAGACCCTGTCTTGGCACTGAAGTGCTTCTTCCTGAAGTATCTCATATCTCAGTCTGACCAATTAGGAAGCCAAGGAGGGCTTCAGTTTCCAAAACACACCGTGAAATAAGAGCACTTAATGCAATGGCTGTGCACTGAGAGAGGCAAACCTAAAGTTGGCCTATGGGATTCTGAGTCCCAGCTTGCAGGAGGTAACACACATGGCAAAACCATCACATTCAATTCCTGAAAAACTCCCAGTTTTACTGGCCCACTTGGTCAGCCTGCAAAAGTTAGTGCAGAGTTAGAGCTGCACTGCATGGAAAGAAGGGAGGTGTTCCAAAGAAGACACCTGCTGTGGCGAGTCTAGCCTCAAGAAGACATTCCCTTCTGTCCCTGTTTGTTGCACACTCCCACTTTTACTGCTTCCTTAGTACCTCTCACTAGCAAAATCTTGTGCCCTGAATTACCAAGCCAACACATTACTGCCCTTTTCCTTTATTTGGGAACACACCCACCACCACCAAAACCACATTTCTTTTTTGAGTCAGGTGAAGAGTAATTTAACATTTAAGTGCTCAAGATTTGGATTTTCTCATCTTCTCCTGTAGTTTTTAGTTGGAATTTTAGAAATATTCGTGTCATATAGCACAATGGTAAACACAGAACCAGGAATAAATAATAAATTATACCATGAGTACCAGACATAATAAGCAAAGATAAAGTTAAGAGGAAAACTGTGAGAACGAATAGTTTCAGTCTGTCCTAAGCTTTTAAATGCTAAGACTATTTACTTTTGTAGACATAATATTCAGAAGCAGCATTAAAATAGGATTGTTGCTCTGGTCATTATCTAGAAGTGCAGCGTGGGACGAAAGGGGAGAGAAAGGAGGAGGAAGGGAAATCATGGACAGGCCAAGATCACCACCTAGTGACAAAACTTCTGCTTTGCAGGGGGTTTGCTGAAATATCAGACAAACCCCTGGTGTCAGAGAAACAAATTATCCAACCCTTTTACAACCCTTTCCTAAAGGAAGGATTATATATTGTTTCAGGATTAGGAAAAAAAATTCATAGCATACGATTTGGTACAGTGAAATACGTAGTACTTGTTTGTTCTTTTTGCTTGCTTGTTTTAAAGAAAAATATTTTTCTTATATTTGTGGAAAACCGATGTGGCAAAGCAATTGTCCTAATATTCCCCAAAGTAACAATTTAGATAAAAATAACTTAAATATTATCTGAACCGGAACAAGTTTATAATTAGTTGTTTTGTCATTAGTTAATAAAGGCATGAGTTTTCTAAACTGGTGGGATCCCAAAAAACACGGAATAAATACTACATGAAAGAGGAAGTGTTCCTTCTGCATGAGGGGAACAGCCCTGGGTGTGTACCTTTGTGCAGCACTTGACTCTGAAGGAGAATTGAGTGAAGTATGAAGATTCTCTGGAATGTGTCTTTAATTCTTCCAGCACAAAACATTATTCTTTGCTTTCATATCTCACTGTTTTCTTTCGCTTCCTGTACAGAACTGCCATAATTAAAAATGCTAAACTTGAGGCAACGTCTTTTATGTGGATGTCTACCTTTTTATATTCAGAATAATAAAACTCTCCTAGCCTTCCAGATGAAGCTCATGCTGCCTCCCTCCTTGTTATCACAGCATCCTTTTCCCCCATTCTGAGAAATACACCTTACCTTGCTCCCTTTGCACACTCTATAAACATCCTCACCATAATTCAAAGCTTCCTAGTCTTGCCCACACTGTCTCTTGCTCTGGCTTCCCCATCCTAGCTCAGTTCCATGCTTTCACTTCAAGGTATTCCAAAAGCATGTGCCACTCAAGCCATCTAATGCACTATCAGGGCATTTTCACCCACATCCAATGAGCCTGACATGCTACTGTCGGGCAGTGACTGACATGCTTTATCCCTAATCACTCAAGTTAGCAATGTGATAACAGCCTCAGTTTTGACTTTTTATAAAACATTTTCCTAAACCCTAGCATTTTAGCATGTTGAATAATGCTATCACCTGATATTTCCCATCCTGCCTTTAGATTACTTTTCTACAGTCTTACACTTACCTGTGTAGACACAGCCTGTTTAGGACAGGTCCTGTGCATGCATGCCAGCACAAGAGGGAAACAGCCAGGGGTCAAGGCTCTAGGCTGTCCAGTGCTAGGAGCAGGGCTGCACACCTCTCCCAGGGTAGTTAGGGAACAACAAATAACCTCTGATGAGGGAGGGTGCTTGGAATGGTACTAAAAGCAGAAGCTGTGCCTGGCAAGGTTTGGAAATGGAAAGGCATCCTTTGGCTGTAACTGCTCCAACACTAAAGAGAGAATAAAGAGGGCATCAGAAACATTCTTTTTTAAGGCATCATTATTTAAATTTTTTTTTTTAGATAGCAGCAGGGACAGTTTAGGCAGCTCTAAAGTAAAATGCAGCCACAGTACAGAGGTGCTGGTCAGCTGATAGTCAGGCACTGTGCAAAGGGACAGCTTTGTCTGGTTCTGCAACAGTTGTGTTGGGATAAATTCCATGTTAAATAGGAAGCTATATGCTCAGACTACTGATTACTCTGGCTCCCCTTCCACTGATAACATTTCAAGCTGCTATTTTACAATAATATTTTCAGTCAGTTTTTAACAATTTTAAAAACCCCTGATAGTGCCAGCGGTTCTAGCATGCCTGGAATGTCAGTAATCAGTGTTGTTCTATTATCCATCAACAAAGCTGAGCTGACATATGCCATCATATATTTGGATAAAAGGAACATACTTGAAATAAAAATTGTGTCCTCATGCTCCCTGAATAATTTAAACTATAAATATGTAAAATATATTCTATTTTACAGTTGAACAAGCTTCACCTACACTGTATTTCTGTGTCCAAGCTTATTATGACCACTTGAAAAATAACAAATACATCTAAAAGAAAAGGTAGACCCCACCACCATTTCTAAAGTATAGCCAGGAAGACAAGCTCAAGTAAATATGGATATACATATTTACATGTCTATATTTACATATATGGTTGTAGATATTTTATATATGTCATAATATGTAGAACACTTAAACAGTTTTATTCTGGTTGCATCCAACCCACCAGGCTAATTACTTACGGTATTCTAAAGTTGACATATTATTTCTCCTGTGTGTAAGGAAGAGTGAAACTGATTTAAAAACCTTTCTATGAAGCAATGTAAGATGCAATGCTTAATAGCATTCCCTGAAACTAAGCTTCTCAGAAAACAAGAAAATCTGTTCTTTGGGAGAATATGTGTCTTAAAAATAAGTATATCTCATTTTTTAAGAAGGGGAAAAAAAAAAAAATCAGTAGTGAATGAGCCACTGTGGGGTACTGGAAATAGCATTTGGACATTGCTCTTCCCGGAGTGAGGGCTCCAGGTTGGACAGAGATGCCTTACCTTGGAGCAGTTCTCCTGCTCCCAGCTCCCGCTGGGGACACAGCTCAGATTTCAGAGATGCTCCCGCAGAGCTCCAGGGCAGGCAGCCAGGGAGCAGGGTGGCAGTGGAACATCCCTGCCCCATTCAGAGGCAGATGCAGGGGGTACCCAGCTGCTCTGCAGAGGCAGGTACCCCACACAGGACACAAAGCTAAAGGAGCTGCTTGCTTCTGGCAGTTCCTCTGAAAGCTGATACTTTTGCACAGCATTGCATTGTGCTTTACACAAGCTCCTCCAGAGTTTATAATCAGAAGGTTCAGGTGTTCTGAATCCTTTCCTCTCGACAGATTTCCCTTTTTGCACTTCCATCACTCACAGTAAAAGCTCATCTTGACTTATAAGTTAAAAAACTCCGAAAACAAAACTTCAAATGCAAAAAAAAAAAAAAAAAAAAAAAAAAAAAAAAAAAAAAAAAAACAAAAAAACAAAAAACCCCACAACTCACCGCTGTTTTGAGACATAGCAATCTGGTTTTATACTCTCTAAAGCCCTTTAAGCACTTCATAAGTCAGCTTCTGTGACGCCATCTCTAAAAGCAGTACTTTCAGTCTCCATGGAAGACACAAACGTACTAGTGAATGTTCTCAGACAAATTATTTAAGAAAATACAAAGCAAATAGAACTTTTTTCCTTTAAAATAAGCAATACAAAGCTTACAAAATCACATCTCCAAGAGATAATAACTAATCATGGTGAATTAGACTTCCTTAAAAATTAAGTACATGGGACAAAAGCAGGAATAACTAGCAGCTATATACCTCAGCAGGACCACAAAGAAAAAATATAAAAACGTTTACATCATGTTGACTAAGCCTATTTTCCCCAAACAGCTTTCCCTTGTGAGCTGGCTTAACCTGATGATCTACATCAATCTGGTTCTCATTTCTGCAACCAATTTGTTTTCTAAACTACATACACTCGGTTGCATAAACAAATCCTTATTATAACCACAGAAGCAGCTGCCTCAGTTTCTGCTGTAACTAGCCATTTACAGATGTTTCATTTGCTCAGGTATTTTTTTTCCCAAACACTAAAGTTTAACTACAAGAAACAGAGGCCACAGGTTAAAAAACTGTATGTGGAAACAATGTAGAAATGAAGGTATTGTCACAACACACTTTAGTCTTTTGCTAACACAGGTAACAGTGAGGGTTTTTCTTTCTATCTATAAATCACAATTAAGACAATTGCAGGAACACACCAGTGTGGTCTACAAGAAGGTACATCATTTAATTACTAATTTTAGCTTTATTTTATGTGTACATCTGTACATTTCAATCAGATTCACAAAATGTAAAACTTGTGTTATCAGAGTGTTTCATACAGAGGTTGACACATAACTTCATGATTACTTAGAAGAACATGCAACAAGCTACATAAAGTTTATGAAAATAGTTTAATAGAAAATTTTAGTTAAATAAATCAGCACGAGAAATCATGTTTAACTTGCAAATTTTGTTTATAAGCTACTATGAGACGTTTCCTACCACCAAAAAGAAAATAAATATAAATGACTACTTAACGATTCTTTAAATCTTACAATTGGACAACTGTTTCACTGTGTCTGCATTCTAAAGAAAGGAAGTGGAAATTGTGCAGAAGAATGTTTTACTCTAAGTAATTGTCCAACTGTTATTGCTGTTTTTCAAAGAACCTGAAAGCATGCAATGAAGACTTCAAACTAAACAGACAGCTGAATGCACATATTTAGGTTGTTAACACAATTAAAATAAAAAAGATAACTACAAAAGTTTCCCAAAATGTTGTGGTTTGTTTGTTTTAGGTTTTTTTAATATGCACATAGAGAACTGTACACAAACAGGGAAGTAAAAAAGTTGCTTTAAAAAATGAAATACAGTAGTATACAGTATTTACAGCTTAAAAGCCATCCTTTTTTAACTGGAGCTAAACTATTACGTGAGCATGCAGTACATCCACAACTCAAAACAAGTACCTTTTGCACACTATAACAGAGTCCTGTACAAAGTATAAATCAACCAAATGTTAAATCACTCTTCTCCATCACTGTTGTTGCTATCTTTGAGCTTCATAACAATGCCTAGGTCTCAACACTTCAGCTTAGGCAACTTCATAAAGTGAATATATGAACATCTATTTCTAATACAAATTTGAAGAACACATTCTATAAACAAGACAATTTATGGTGAGATACCAACAATGTTATTTTGTTCAAGACATGCTTGATGAAAAGCTGCACTGAAAGAGCACAAGTATGGCAGTGGATTAATGGATATTTTTTACCTTTGTCATTTTTAAAGATTTTCAAATTCCCGTTTTCCTCTCCTGATATTTGTTCAGACAAATCCAAATGGTTATAATAGTTGTATTTGTAAAGCTTATAGTACAACTGTTGAAGTTATCAATACAGATATGCTAAATGCTTTTTCTAACTGTAAAATAGGTATTTATTGTGAGTGGTTTCTATAAGCACTTCTGAAGAGTTGTGTGCTATTCTATATATTGTCACAGTCAAAAGTTTAGTTCTATAGATACCTGATTATTCTCTAAAACACCCAAAATATTAAGGTCCTTCAGAACTTCATTAACTGTACAAAATTTAGACACATTTCAAACAAAACCTCTACCCAAGCAGTTTTAAAAAGTTTTAGATTTTTAGCTCCCATATACCTTATATTGATGGATAATCCATAATGGATTTTACAGTGTTGATACTAAATATCTCGAGTAAACCTAGAGAGTTAGGTCTCAAATCAAAAGGAATGCCATTTGTATCAATCAAGTATTGCTTGTTTTACTGAAAATGTCTCTTCAGTATTTACTTCACCTTATAGTTGGTATTTCCCAGTCCACAGAAGAAGCACAAAAGGACATACTACCCATTCCCTTCAACAGCTGTCAAATGCTGCCAGGATTCATGCAGTAGCTTCCTAAAGTCTTCAGTAACTACAAGATGACAATTAGAAGCGACAAAATGTGTGTTCTTGAAAGAAAATACTTTTTAGAGCATAATTATTTCTATACCTGATACACTGGGAGAATACCCCAAACAGTAATACATCTTAAGGATTTGAGATGTCCTTGTGATTACATTTAGAATTAATGTACAACCTGAATTTCACGTGTAATTTCAGGCACAATTGTGGGAAACAGCAGAAACAGCATGCTTCAGGACATAATCTGTCACAATTTTAGGAAATCCAATGTATGTACTCAGGTGGAATTCTACTTTCTATAACTTCACTTTCCCAAAATTATGTGCAGTTACATACACAAATTAATGAACCAGGATGAAGATTTCACTGCTGTAACAGAGTACATAGTACTTTTCCCACTGACCTGAAAGGTTGTGATGGTGGTGACCAAAGTGCGACTAAATATTTGACCTTTAGCCCAAAACAAATGTTCAGCTCTGATGAATTCATCTTTACTCAAAGAACATTTATTCCTTCTGAAGCAACAGCTGAGGATTTGAACAGTCTTTCTACCTTGGGCTGCTCCCAATCTAAAGATTAAAAAAAATGTTGTAATTCTTAAGGTATCCCATCAATATGCTGATGGAATTGTATGTTAAATTTTGGTAACTCTGAAAAAAGGTTATGCTTTAGCATATTTGTGTATGTAACAAATTATGAACAACATTCAGAATTCCATTTTGTCTCAAATTGCTTGGAATTAGATTGGTTATTAGGATGGCAACTATGACCTATTCTCCATGTTTTCCCTCTTAACTGAAATACACATATGATGAAAAAACCTACTTCTAGAAACAGAAGAGAACTGAAAAATAATTCTCAGGTTCACAATTGCATTTCTAGGCCCTATTAGAGTCATATAGTTTCTGGAGAGGGAAGCTAACTGATTAATCCACAATTCATTACACCAAGCAATACTATTGTGTCTATTTATTTGGAATTATACACGTGTGATGTTGGGTGGCTGTGTTCAAAAGCATGCAGTTTAATATACTCATGATATAAATACTTAGATTTAATGCAGGCAAGGCATTATTAAAATACACCTAGTGCATGAAATACAAAAATTAAAACAAAAAAAACCCCAGTTCTCATAGTTAATAGAGCTCACACTCCATTACAGTTTCTGCCCAAATGCCATTATATATGCGCCCCCACAACAAAACTCAAATACAAAATGTAAGCAAAATAAATATCAATGTACAATATGTTGAGAGGGAAACACTATTTCCTTTATCAACATCAAAAGAGTGTATTTCAAAAATAGAAAGCTACTTTAGACAAAGTCAGATCCATGTTGAATGTTCAAAACTGATTAAATTATTGGTTTCTTAAAAAAAAGTCAACAGCAAATCATGGATAGCCACAGCACACAGCTTAGTATCATAAACTCAGAATTACTCAGAAAATTAAAGACAATAATTATTTGGACGTGTTTTTTTCCCTGAAACATAGCTGCAGGTTTTGAATCAAAACAAAATTTTTTTCATCTGGGGAATGTCAGGCCAGCCAGAGCGGTGCCGAATGTTCCTTAGCTGCTTCCCAAGAGGAGAAGCAAGAGAGCAAGCACCTCCAGTATATGCATACCAATGCACAGAGACTGTGGAAGCTCTATTGAATGCCTGAGTCAAGGTCAGAGAAGTCATCTCCAAGTGGAATCTCCAAGTAGGCATCTGCTACTGACCTCTAAACCAAGGAAATAACACCAATTAAACAATATTTGGGTCACTTAAGAAGGCTTTGGGTCAACAGAACCTGTTTCTATGGGTGATTCTGGCTGCCTAGACACTTGTTGGAAGAACAATACACCAGCCCACATGTTATCCATCAAGTTCCTGGAGTACATAGAGGACATATCTGGAGTACAGATGGTTAATGTGCCAACCAAGGGTGAGGCACTGCAGGACTTGCTACTCACAAAAGCCAAGAAAACCTGCTTTGTAAAATCCCAATCAGTGATAGCCTTGGCTGCCGTGACCACAGTAGTGGGACCCTGCTGAGCACACTGAAGGTCAGTGTTAAAACAAAGATTTTAGATTTAGAAGAGCAAACTTCACTGTGCTCAGAGCCCATGAGAAGGGATGCCATGGAGGAAAAAGAAGCTAGTGAGTGCTGGCAGTTTTCCACCAACAGTCTCCTGGAAACACTAAACTGGTTCATTACCTTCAATGTCAGGAAAGGGGCAGAGCAAGAGACCTCGTTGGTTTAACTGTGGACCTCTGGATCCTCTCAAAGGCAGAAGAGAAGTGTACCAGAGATGGAAAAGCAGGAAAATATACATTGACAACTAAAATGACATTGATAGGATGCACAGAGAACCTTCAGAAGTTCAACAAGGACAAGGGTAAGATCTTGCACTTGACAAAACATAATCCAGGAGTGCAGCACAGGCTGGGATACAGCTGTGTGAGGAACAGCTCTGTGGAAAGGGATCTGGGGGCCCTGGTGGACAAGCAGCTCCATGTGAGTGAGCAGTGTGCTGCTATGGCAAAGAAAGCCAACGGGATTGTTGACAGGATGGATTGCGTCAACAAGGGCATCACCAGCAGAGATAAAAATCACCGTCATCTCACTCAGCACTTGTCAGGCCACACCTGCAATACTGGGTTCTCTGTATTCAGCTTTGGTCCTTGAGATGCAAAAAACCCACAAAACCATGGACAGGCTGGAAGGGGTCCAGAGAAAGGCCACAGGGATAATCAAAGGTTTGGGAAGCCTGACACATGAGGAAAGGCAGGGAATTGGGTTGATTCTGCCTTGAAGAAAGAAGGCTTAAGAGAATTTTTATCACCATATTCCAATTTTCAAGGGGTGGCTACAAAGAAGAGACTCCTTTTTTATAAGCAGTCACAAGGAAAAGGCAAGGGGTCATGTGTACAAATTACTTTGTGATATTCCAATTGGACACTGGAATAATGACACTGGAACAAAATCCACAGGGAAGTGTTGGACTCCCCAGCACTGGGCACTTTAAAGATTTGGCTGGTCAGGGTGCTGGGCTACCTTGTTTAGACCGTGCTATTGACAGGAACAGTTGGACCAGACCATCGTTGAGGTCCCCTCCAACCTGGTACTCTATAATTCTATGATCATACTGATAAATTGAAAGTGTGTGGAATGTTTAAATCTTTGATAGCAGCAGCTTCTAAAAAAAACCAGCAGCTTTTCCACATTAAATAATATATTCAGTACTTCCCCTTCTTCCAAATATTAAACGGTGTTGATGTATTATTTGTTCTGCACAATGCAGAATGCGCCCAGTGATACAAGGCAGAGACAGGCAGAGCTGATTCAAGATAGTGCTCAAACATCCTGTATGGACAACACTATTGTCCAAGGGGAATCAGGGTACCATCAGTGCCATTCACACCCAAGGTATCTTTGTAGCTTAATTAAGAGGGGCAGGGGGAGGGGAGGCTATCTAAAAGAATTCTATTTTTCTTGGAAAAGCTATTTCAGTTAGCATGTGTCAGGCATAAAACACACTCCACAAAGCTACCATTCATTCATATATATATATAAATACATATACACACACATATATACACATACACACACTGACTAAAGCACCTTATGCTTAACAATGCTGTTTCTAGGGATATGGAATGAAAGTTCCAGGTTTTGCAGACATAAGGCCACTTACACTTTCTTTCACTGCCAGAGTTATTGAGCAGTATGTTCGTGCTGTGATCAAAGAGCACCTCACAGATAAACCTTTTATCATTACAAATTCCTCACAAGAAACATCTGAAAACAAACTTCTGTCAAATAAAGCCTTGTCCCTGCTAGGCCACTTAAGCATTATATTATCTGCCTGTCCCTTGTTGCCAGGCAATAACACCATATAATGCAGAGAAAACTAAGCACATGACAATATTTTAAAAGTGAATACAATGACCTTTTGCAATAAAAATTATTTGGAGAAAGGTAGCTTAAAACCTGCAAAGATGCCTCCTGGTCCAAGGGGGAAAGTTACAATGGCAACAATTGCATTGGCACAGTAATTAAAATGAAGAATGAAGTTCATCAACACAAGCATATGTATCTCACCAGTTATAGCAGGAGCTTGCTGTAATTTAACTTGGTGAAAGACAGAAAGCCATTGACCAGTGGCAGCATAATAGCCTCCTATTAAAAACAAGAATTGAGATGTTCAAGGACATTTGGAACCTGTGGAATAACTTTCAGTGTGAGATAAAGGCATGAGACAATCTGAATTAATGAACACAGTGCTTCATGATATGGTTGGTTTTGATCCAGACAAGACTTTCCAGGTTGTCAAATAAAATGTTTTAAAGTCTGTTGAACAAGACACCGTAGCAAGGAACCAAACTGATTAGAAATAATCAAAATAGAACAAGAACGAAGATGTGACAATTTGTTTTAAATCCTCTCCCCTAAACATATATGTAACAAGGCACATTAGGAGAAATATCTTGAATTACTTTATTAATCAATTTGACTTAAATACCTGAAATCAGTTTTCTCACAATTTAAGACAATGGGGAGAAGTTTAAATTGTTACAGATGTCATAATTTCATTGTCTACTAAAGTGCAATGGTTGTGTGCCAAAAAGTACAAGCAGAAAGTAAAAGACAAAAGACAAAAAAAAAACACCACAAAGAAGTTTTTGAAGACATTCAAAAACAGTGAGACCATATGTATTCAGCCACATTTTTAAAGCAATTAAAAGTAAAAATAACAGCGAACATATTTATAAACCTATATTTTAATTTGTTCCCTGCAAAGTCCATAACTTTGTATGTTTTTCAAACAAGACTTTGATGCTTTTAAAGAAAACAAATAACATTAGCATTCCCAGTACTTTAAAGAAAGGTATGTGGAATAAGATAAAGGCAGACAGGTTAATTAATTATATTTTTGAAGTACTAAGCAATGACTGGATTGCAAGTTATATTTTAAACGTATTCTTTTAGGTGTGCAGTAGGTGCCAGTGTTTGTGACAGTCCTGAAAGTGTTTTTGACATCATAACAGCAAATCCTTTGAGTGATTTACTCCCCGTCACCATTAAGAGACAACTGCTGAAAAGCATTTAGTTGAGAAAAAATGTAAAAGATTCCTTATTCTTCACAGAACTTTATGCCCTTTAAAGTTTGCATTTCATAAATAATTAGCCATTAGACTTAAATTTTTTCTTTACTCCAAACACTCACAGTTATGACATTTCACATGCACAACACCACTCAGTCCCTTTTAAACTAGAAAAGCACAATCTACTGAAAGCTTAAGCATTTGAAAGTTCCAGGTATCTTAATCTTTACAAAGATAAAAAGTGTTCAGAAACAAGGTAGTAAATACATTAGTGCTGCCCCAATTACAAATTTTTGTTGTATGGTAACTATTTTATTACACTTAATATTTTTGTTCAGTAGAAAACCACCATACCATATTGTTACCCCTCTCCATTTTCATCATAGGTGTATTCTCTGAGCGTTTTTTATATTTGTGTGTTCCTTACAGAATACATATAGGGGTAAGGGTCCTGCAAGTGCTTAATTAAGTATAGGGAGTTTATTTGCAATGAGTACCCTTTTTCTGAGGTTTGCAGAAGGGCTGGTAACCATCTGTATGTTTAAGACAAAATATTTTCGAGGAAAACATCAGTTTAGGATTTGTTTGTGCATATACAACAGCTTGTACTTAGTAACCTTCATATAGTCTCCTTAAACTCCTGATTTCTGACAGGCTAAAATCATGAAGAAATGTGCCAAAGAAAACTGCCATGAGCCATTCTTCACATAGTGCTAATTATATCAGGGTTCTTAAAGCCGTGGTTCTTAAACCCCATCAAAATTAATCTACATTTTGAAACAGATCTAACAAAGTTAGATCTGTTAAAAAACAAAGTTGTTTTGAATGCTGAACAATAATATTCAGCATTCAGAGAGATTCTTCTACTACACATAAGTCATATGAAATATCTTGCTATTTCACCTGAATTCAAGGAGAATTGTGCACATTCACAGAATTCTTCTACATTCCAGAGCTTACCCAGCCACCCGCTCAGAATTAAACCCCAAGTTTGGCACATGCAGCAACTTTCAGGACGGCCCCTCTGTTTAGTTCCAAGGTGTCAAGGACAGTGATCCCATCACCAAGCCTGGCAGCTGCTGGAGGTACTCCATCTCTGCTTGGCACAACAGGGATCCCCCCTCACCCGTGACGGAGGCACGTTAAGGCAGTGCAGGAGTGCAGCAGTTCCAACACTAGAGGACAGCCTGATCATTTGACTGAGCCTCGAGATTTGTAGTGCGCTTTCCACATAGCTTCCTTCCTCTTGCACTAGAATTCGAGTTCATAAGCTGATGAATCCAATTCCAGGAAGCTTCTCTTCAAATCAAAGATGTTTTTCTCCCCTCTTTCTACATAAGTTTCAAAGCGTTGCAAGAATTCTTGAGAATGAAATAATTAATGTCAGTACTGTCTGTCCAACGCCAAAGACAAGAGCTTCTAGGGGAGCCATATTCTTTCCTGCTACTCTGTAAATTCCAGCTACTGCAGCACCTAAGAATCACAAGGAAAACAATGATCAAATCACAGAAAAAGCCAAGGTTTAAATATGTGACAAATTATCTACTCTATGTGTCAGCTATTTATAGAACATTACCAAACACTGTATTACTTCATGGCATTACACAATTATCAGCCTTGCTTGTATTTTTATAGTTAAACATATCCTTCAGGAATGATTTTCCCAATTGAACCAGATCAACTTTTCCATCATCAGTTTAAGAAAATCAAATCTTGTTCTTTCCCTGTACACGTCTTCAATTTTTTATTTTTTTTTTTTTAACATTTTTTGCCTTGCACCAGTTTGAAAATGTAGCAAGGCAGTCCTCTAAAAACTGACCAAGTCTGAAGAGTGGTTTCATACTGTTTGTATAGGCAGGGAGAAGACAAGAACAATAAAGCTGCTAGTGTCAACAAAACAATTGTAAACACACATTTACCAGCTTCATTTAATACTTCAGATGAATAAACTGGTCATACCATATGAGTTTATTTTGACTTAAACTACTGAATCGGAAACAATTGTTTAGCAAATCCAGCAAAACATAAAAAAGGTCAAAGTATTGCAGTGTTTTCCATAAATGTGTATGAGAGGAAATTTCTAACCAGTACAATTAGATTTTAAGCTATAGCACATAAAAAAAACAACAAACCAAAACAAACTCAACAGATCATTTTTCTAGTACAGCTGTGTACAATATTTGAAACATCTGAAATATAATATCAAGAGGCCAGGATCAACCAAAACCAAACCCAAAACTTAATTGTAGACCTTCAGTATGCATTGTCTCAGATGCTATCTAGTCATAATTAAATGCCTTCAGAGATCACAGAGGCTTTTTCAGGCTCAAAGAGAACTGAAAAGTCATGAAATTTTTTTCAAATAATATGCAAGAGGTTTTTTAAAAAAAGGGGATTTTTTTTTGTTTGTTTGTTTTGCACAGTCACTAACAGGAATAGACTGCTGGAGTGATCAAAAATCCATTAGCGACACAGAAATACATTGAGTCCCAACAGATTTTCTGAAAGTACAATCAGCATCTGAATCATCTGACATCTTCAAAAAGTAACACCTCAGTTTTACAGTAGCTTTAGGAAGAGTAAAATTCACTAATGATTGTGGCCATAACAGTATTTATAAACACTATTAATCGTAATGTTTAGCAATTTTTGGGTTAATTTATTTTTATTGTTGCTTTTAAAAAAAAAATTACATGTTTTTATACTTTTTACACATTTTTATACATATTCTGTAAAGTATATTTTGTCTGAAATATCTCACCAGAAGGCTAGCCTTATGGTATTTGACTCAGCTACCTTTCATAAGCTTTTCCATTTCTTCCTTGGCTAGCTGCTGTCAAAAACTGAAAGAGATCCTTTAGACTGAGCCCACTACTGACATTAAAATTATTTTTCAGACTGAACTCTTAAAGCAAATTTAAATTGGCCAGAAATGTATACCAGAATTGTCACTACTAGATCAATAACAGAAATTTTGGGCTTTGAGAAAACACTGAGATACTCTGGGAAGTATCCAGAATAAAAAAATAAAAATTTGGTAGATTGCTAATTATGTATTATCACAGAAATAACAGTATGCAGAACAACCTGTAATGCATAACCCAGCACAGCTGGTATAGAGCCAAAAGTATGTACAATAGGCTGCCAATGAGGGAAATGAGAATTTGTCACCAAAAAGGAGTGTGCTGGGGAAGAGGAGGAAGGACAGACCCTTCTGGATCAAATACAGCTGAAGTCCTTGCCTTAAGCTGCCTGGTGTTTATATATTCTTGTTTGCTTGGTGGGAATTTTTTGGTTGTTGTTTTGTGGGTTTGTTTTTGTTAGGTTTTGTTGGGTTTTGGTTTTAGGTTTTTTGGTTGTTGGTTTTTCTTTTTTACTGTATCCCCTGTTGATTAGTAATTTTTTCATACTGTTTTTAATAACCTTTAATTTCCATGGTTTTTCAAAGCTTAGAAACGGAGGAATCTCCTGCCTTTCTATATGGTGGTAAAAAGGTCCCAGACATCACAAAGTCTGAAAGATCTCCCTGAGCAAAATTAAACTTACATTGTGAATAGTCTATACTGCCTTCATTCTCCTACACAAACAATGCTGAAGACTGGAAATACAAAGTGGAAATTGAAGTCAGTTTTCTATTTCAACTTCTTAAGCACTGGACTAAGCATATTCAAATAGCTGATATTTCAATTCACATCTCCCAGTTTGCAACACTGTAGCTATTAAAAATCCTCTTTAATATTTGATCACCATAATTTGCCTTCAAAAGCTCCCCACAGAATTTCTTTCAGTATGAAACTACTGAGTTCTGGCCAGAAAAAATACTTCAAGGTAGAAGTACTTGCCTAACCAAGTTGCAATGCTCTTTGCAAAACCTTTGGGAACAGCATAACAAGTCTACAGTCTAAGCTTAGAGAAGTTCTCAGATGAATATGCACGCAAACAGGACTGCTTATGTGCTAAATGTTTTGACCTGAAAAACTGGATGCCAAAAATAAAACTGTGTTGCTCCTCTTTTTATGCAAAGATAAAAGACACAAAGTACTTTCATTTGAGAGACACTGATCCTGAAACCTCCCCACCACCACAGAAAGCTGTGAAAGTCTCTGCTCAGATCTCTCAGCACCACATTTCCTAACTTCAGTTCTTCAGAAGTGCTCATGCACGCCTGACTTTGTAACAGGCTGCTCCCATTTTAATCCTAAAACAAAAATCAGGATAACATATCAGGCACTCGACTAGTTCCAACTTACCTTAGAAAAAAACCCCAAAACTAACAACCCAACACCCCCTGCAAAAATCCAACAAAAAATAGTTACGCTGAACTGTACTGTGTTAAATTATGGAAATTCTAAGCTGACAAATTTGTAGCAATTAAAACAGCCCTTTGAGGAAAGTCTTAGTGAACCTTCTCATGACACTTGTATTTTTATTTAACCTTGAAAAACAATAGTCAGGAAGGTCTTTCAGCAGCAATAAGAAATAATCTGTCACAAATCCTCTCTGAATGTGTCCAAAGCTGATAGTGACACCACTATTCTGATAGCCTGGGCAGAACACAGGAAAACCAAAATGAAAGGTAGGAAGTCTTGCCTTCAGACTATATGGTGGTTGCTAGATTTATGGCTCCTTACCCTCAGAGACCTTTCAAGTTAGGCAATCTTTTCTGCAACACTGAAGATTTTGGGGCAGAAACTACTGCTCAGTTAACATAGGCACCATTCAACACATGGATTTTAATGCTGAGAACTCCTAACTATCACTGTTTCAGACAAACACTCTACTTTCCTGAAAAAATAACATTTACTATTTTTCCCCCCACAACAGAAAACTCAGCATGCTCCTACTTGCTTGGGAAAGCTACTGTAGTCCTTTTATAAGTTTGATAAACAGAGCTGGACATGATAAAACCAAAGAATGAATAAAGTGTTCTACAGGTTTTATGGCCCATATTTCAGTGCTGACATAGATAACGCAATTTCTTGGGAAAGATGGAAAAGCAGCATCTGGAACCAATAACTCCAGATGAAGACAGATTAACAGCATTTCCTCAAAACATTCTTGGCAGCACCACTCATGTCATATTTGGTCAGGTGTAACTACATAACACACTCCTACTTTTTGCAATATTTTAAACACGAGTGTGGTTTTTAACTACAGCTCTGCGAACCTTCCAGCTTGAACAGAAAAAATGGTTGCATCTATCTGAGGATACAATGTCAAGAAATAAAAAAATGTATCTTGAGTGGTAGTCATTCATCTAATGCCAAAAGAAACTCTGGAGCAGATGCCCTTGACAAATAGTACTTCACCTAGAACATCAGCAAAGCTTAATTTTATTTTTTTTTTTTTTTTTTTTTTGGGAGGGGGAAGTCACTCTGTAACTATTGCAAAATCCTTAATAATCAACTCAGAAAAGTAGTTTTGATTTTGTTTGTTTTAGAAGTTAGATGTAAAACAGGAATGGAAAAAAACCCCAAAACAACAAAAAAAAACCCCAAACAAGAACAAAAGGCAGACTTACTAGTTATCATTGCTCCAGTTATAGAACCCAGAAATCCAATGCTGACCACAATGACAGAGATCAGCCTCCCCTGCCTATGCCTCTGCAGCATCACAAACATTAATACTCCCACAGCACCATGGACAAAGAGAGAGGAGAAGAGCGCCCAGAGGAAAACCCAGTACCACATCTCTGAAAGAAAGCAGTCAGATAAAGGGTTAATACTTCTTAGACAAGGCCTTTATAAGCAAGAAACTTTAAAACATTGCAAACAATCAACAGTAAGAGAAAAGCAATACTGATTTCCATCTTAAAAGTGAGACATGTGACACCTTCTGCACATGTTCAAGACTCTTTCCTCATTTCAGCAGTCTGTCAGAAAGGATTAGCTGTATTATGTTAAAAATTATAAAAAGGATTCTGGCAAAAATCTTAATTCAGATGTATTTTTACAAGTAGCCATAATTCCTTTAATGGCTTCTTTAAATAGTGTTGATTGCAATTTCTTAGTAGGCATTGTAACTGCTTCTGTAGAATGAAATACTCTTTGACTCAAAGACTGAACGAGGAAAAACTCAAGAACAGGTTTGGGGTTTGTTTGGGTTGTGAGTTTTTATTTTGGGGTGGGTGTGGATCTTTTGTCGTTTCCCAACCCTCACAAATAAGAGACAGCATCAGGTAACATCAGATGGGAAAACTGAGATTAAAGACTTTGGCTTATCTACACCCAGGAGCTGCAATAGACTATTACATCAAATTAGCTTCAAAGATGCAAATAAAAACACTATAATTTCAACAAGAAATTTTAACACATCTAACTCCTCGCTTCTAATTGCTTAGTACAGAACTTCAGAGAGAGGTAGTGACTATTATTTAAATTACTAAAATGAGCATCAGATCTTGAGAATGTTTGAAGCACAAACATTTCTTTGAAGAATGGCAGACAGGATGAGTACCTTCAAAGAAAAGATCTGGAACCATCTATGGAGCTACAGAATAACTCGAGAACCTTCCTCACTTGGTGTTTCTGAAAACATTCTATGAATCAAAAGGGTAAGTAAATTAAGAAAAAAAATCTCTTTTGTTTTAAGTCAGCTACAGTAGGTATGTATCATTACAGAATTTAGCAAATTAGGGTACATATTCCATAATCCCATGACACTGTCATTAATTCAGTTTTTGCTGCAGTTCCCCCCCAAAAATAGAACAAAACAAAAAACCCCAGCTTCCTTACAAAAGCAAGATACTTAGTGCTTATGAGGCAAGCCTGTATTAATGTAGCTTGACTCATATCAACTACTGGAGAAAAAAAATACAACCCAATTAGCTAATTTTAAAAGTACTGAGCAGCACAAAACATACTGTGAAAAGATGCCGAGAAAAAAATGTTGCTACACAATAACCACAGCCCTGGGAGCCCCTTGTCAGTAGGATATGTATATAGATAGCACAGATACAGAGTTTAAGCTTTTTTTTATTTAGCAGTACTTTGGGAGTAGCTCAACCCTTCCCCTTTCACACAGGCATAAATGGCAACACTATGCCTGCCCAAGGATGTACAACTCCTCTAAATCATGATAGCCAAAAACACTTTTGAGAGAGAAGCAAGGAAAGTGGCCGGCAAATCTGCATCCAATTAATACTTCAACTGTAGTTCAAGGGGCAACTGTTCCTTCTGAGTGCCTGGATACATGCACCCACATCCTGAGGGAGGCTAGGAGCAGCTCTCCTGAGATCCTCCATCCCTTCAGCCCAGGCCCCAAAATGGGTCTCAAAAATCTTGGCAAAAGGATAACGACCATTTAGTTCCCCTAAATTACTGTCTCATCATTCTCAGAAGTTACTGTGACAGAACAGTTGCAGGAGTGTCAGGTAGTCACCCCACAAACCCCCTGACTAAAATTAAGAAAGACTGACCGAGCTAATGTGTGGGAGGAGAACCTCTCCTGCTGTCCTAGCAGGCCTGGTCCATTACTAGCACAGCCTGGGTGTTTCCATTGTTTCATTCAAGTGGAAGCATGTGAACAAGAGGATTAACCTAAGATCTACCAATACAGAACACTGCAGCCCTGTCAGACCTACAGCTTGACAACAGGGAAACAAACTTTGGACTTATTAACCAATCCGGACCAAGAAAGTCTGCGGGAATCTGACACAGTCACACCCCGTAATTTCTACAGGTTTTGTTAGGCATTGCATCACCTTTTAGGAAATTGGTGTTTGTAGGCATTGTCAACCTTTATCAGGTAGAAAAGACAAATGATTTCCAGTCCCAGGAAAACTCACTAGGATGACTGTATTTTTAGAAGAAAATGAAAGCTTATGGGAAGGTTAACTACTCCCCTGTAACTTAGAAACCAAAAATATTTACAAACTCTTACACAACAAAATAGCTCCACAGTGAGCAACTATCTTCGGTCTTATTTATGTTCCAAATAAGGCTCAAGGAAAATTAGCATCACCCCTCACTTTATATTTAGGGCAGGAGGCTTGGGAATAGAACAAGGACCAAAATGTCCTGTTGGCTAAAGGAATATAAACTTCAGTTCTTTGTAACACACTTTCTCCTCCTACTCTTTAAAGCAGCAGGCATATTGAAAAGTTAATTAGAGAATATCCAGAAATATTCCTTGTTTGACACAAAACCAGCTGTAGATTTGTTAAACTATGACCTCCCTTCATTAAAACATCAGCCAGGTCTTAGGAGCTGAAACAGGATAAATCACGTCCAAGCACCTTCCCCAGGAAAGGCTGGAAGTTATCCTTTCTTATCCTCCTTTATTTACTCTTTCTATGCCTGCTAGTAATTTATTTACAATTTAGTCATTTATTTACTCCTGTTCGTAGGGTGAGTGATGAAGCTAGCCAAGTAATTTGTTTAACAGAGATGAACAAGGTAAGAAGAGAGAGACAATATTCCAGCAAACTGGAGGAGACCTTAAGCTCTATTCACATAGAGGACAATGTAGACACTCTTACCCTGATATGGTGAGGGAAAAGAATTATTCATGTTCTGTAAAATTCAATATCATCTAACCTCTGAATCACAAAGTGAGATGACTCTCAAAAACAGTATGTTAGAATAACACTGAAAGACACAAAGAATGGGTTGGGAATAACACTGAGAGGTGCCACTAAATAATAGAGAAACAGAATATGGACCTCTGAAAACAAATGGTCAAGACTTCACTTGTTCAAAAATGACTGAGTAGTTTGATTGCTAATTGACTTGCAACATCTCTAAGGAAGAGGAAGTGAGACTGAAGTGTCTCAGCTATTTATGTCCCATACACTGACTGATCCTTTAAGCAGCATAAATTTATGTATTGCTACCCTGGCAAAAAAAGCAACTTCAGTCTTTGTGCAGCTATTCTAATCAGCTGGCTCTTTTGACAACATGAACTGCACAGACAGAGCACTTTGCTGTTACAGAGGTAATGATTTACCTATATCTGTCAGAGAGATTCAAATACACGCCTAGCCTCAGTTTATTTAGTCATGTCCTCAAAGAGCATCCCTAAAGAGACATGACTAGCATAAAATTAAAAAAAAAAAATACAACAAAACACTTGCAACTTCCTTTGCTTGACCCTAAGAAAATGTCAGAGTTTACTTTTAGTGTATCCAAATTCCTTAAAGTCAACAAAAGACAACAAACCTATATCAAAATGACACAGCTCCTAGAGAAATACTAGTTCCCTAGGAACTAGGGAAGGCACAGTAATTTACAAGCACAGTGGCATTCAGTATATTGCAAAGATGTTCTACTAATAAGAGCCACTGAGATACATTTTTCATGTTTAAAATTCTTAGTGCTTAAACTGAATAGAAGATTTAAGACAGTGTTTATATTTCTTTACTCTGGTTTGCCTTAGTTGGGGAAGTCTTTTTCCTATCAGAAAAGGCTCAAATATCTTGTAATTAATGCCCAATCACACCAGTTTTAGTGTACTTTGTTAATTTTGATACTCATACATATCAGATAGAAAACATGCATACATTATGCTTATGTACCACAGATACACATTATACATATATTAGTGTAGGCATACACAACATAAAAGATCAGGAAAATATTTTTTAATGCATGTTATTGTTTATAATGACATTCATATCACTTCCATCTTATCAAGACTTGAAGTTGCAGTCCATCAGGAGTTTCATCTTACACAAGGAAAGTAGATAAATGATAACATTTTCAAATATTATCTATATATATCAATATGCTGCCCTACTGCCACTCAGCTTCAGTAAACATTGAGTATCTCCTTAGTCCTTCATCTTCAGCACTTTTCCTCTAGTTCTAAGCTCGTTTGGCCAGATGAATAATGATTGCCTACAACATGTCATAAATCAAATTGTGATTTACTCCAAAACAAAGTGTCTCTCTATGTCCAGTCCAAACCCAGTACCCAGCCTACTACTATTAGCTACAGAGGTAAGTCAAGCAATAAGCACCTGTAAAGAATACAAAAATACAAATTTAAGTCCACAACGTAGCACACATCAAATTTAGAACTAAAAAAAACCCAGTAATGTTACATTCCTGTAGCTTATAAATTCAAAGCACTCAGATGAAGTGACAGCATATCATACCTGCAAATGTAATTCAGCTCTTTACATGCAGCATTTTTTTCTTCAGCAGCAGTTCCTGTCCTTAATTATTGTATTAACTTGTACTTTCAAAGTTATCAACAATGCACCCAAATTGTTGTTTGGAGATGCTAACATTTTTGCTTCTTTGAGTGGGGAAAAAAGCACTTAGCTGAGGAGCATTTAAATCTCAAGTTATAGACTAGTCCTCTCAAATAACAGCATAGGGAGCAAAGAAAATCCAGACAATCTGGGACAAAGGAGCACAGGATGGAGCTCAGGAGCTTCTATTAGTGTTAGTATTTTATTAGTATTTTTATTGCCAAGTCCTTTATTGTGGAAGCAGCCTTTAAACAATTTTTATTTTACTGGATACTAATAATGGGATTTTTTTTCCCCTGCTTTTGCATTTCAAATTCAGCTATCTGATTTACTCTAGCAAACCCTGATCTAGCACTAATTCTAAAACACAACAGTTCACATAAAAGAGGTGTTCTTGTGATTTACTGGAGGATGTAACAAAGAGCGAGGCAAAAGCCACTCCACCTCTCCAATGTCTCCTAAAGCCTTACTTTCACCTCCTAAGAGAGGTCAGGAAGATGGGAACCAAGCACACCATGGTGGTGGACCTATGTTGAGCTAAAAGGAGCAACACTTGCAGCTTTAGCTGTTACTGGTGTGATGTGTATGTGGCAACAATGAACCTGTCTGTGGTCTCCTGGGCATCCAAGGCCACGAGTGAAAGACAGGATTTCCTTTCTTTATGTTGAACCTGATTCACAAATATGGTATAAAAATAATCTTTTGCAATGACAAGAAAAAGAACCCACCAAAACTAAGCTTTTAGGGTATGAAGCATCCCTGGCTTAGGCTGGAGTTCACATCAGGACCCTGTTGAAAATTTCGGAAAATTAACATACTTTTAAAGAAGGATGCTGATAAAATTTTGCAACATGTTTGTGAAAACATAATCAATATGGTTTATCTCAAGGAGATAAATCTTTACCTCTGCAACTAAAAAGACCACAACTTTAAGTCCAAAAGCAGACAGAGGCAGTCTTGAATATTCACGGAACATGGTATATTAATGATTTTCTTTTCCCAGTATTGTGTAGAAGGTTCTCCTTATACCTCACAGAGGTGCAAAAGGGAATGGATTAAGTAGCCAAAGAAGATAAACGCATTCACAAACCAATTTTCTTAGGTTTTGAGCAAAGTTTACTTCAATAAGTAGTAAGAAAGGGCTTATGTAACCAGTTCAGCTTTTTGGTTAATATCAATTATTATATCAATATACATTCTGTCCTGTGGAAATTATTTTTAAGTCCAGTGCAAGTTTTGGACTGCTGATAGTCCATGAGAACATTGAGCTCTACAGGTTATGGCTGTAAGAGCAGCCTGCATTTAAGCACCAATTTAGAAACTGCAATTATAACTGTCAGTGACACATTCTCCAACAACGCTACGATGGATAAAAAAATTATTTTTCATATATTTTAAGTTAAAAATAAAAAAATCCACATTAAAAATGCCTTATGCAAGCCCTCATCTTATTGCAAAAGCACTGAGGAATGAACTGATTTTAACTCTGGGCACTGAATTTCATAGAAATGCCGGTGTTGCATAATGATCTAATAAGAAAAACTTTATAGAGGATGTCTGGCACAAAGCAAAGCAAAACCCACTGTGAACTTTTTCCTTTAAGAGCACAAGTTTTTAAAGCAGGTACACTAAAGTGATTACTCAGGAAGTGAGCTGTATTTAGTGTGTCACCACACTAATACCTGGAAACTTTAATTATCAGACACACACTACAAAGTTCACAGATAAGATAAATATTAAAAGGTTAATCTTTTCTTATTACACTAAGATGCATCCTGGAAGTTAAAAGAACAAGAAAGATGATCACTTTCTGTTTGCTACAGCTTCAACTTCAGCTACACCTCTGTTTTCATCTCACTTCTATTTCCATCTCACTTCTTCCACCTTTAAAAGATTAAAAAAGAGAACAGAATGTATCTATTAACCATTAATATATGGCTACATACAAAAAGACGACATAACACTCTTTCATAAATATTGGAATATTTCCATAGCTGTTTAAAACCCACCCCTACTCAACATTTTCCACTAATCTATCACCACCTAATACACCCCTACAACCGAGCAGAAAGAATTTACTCAGTTACATCTCTTTTACTGACACCCAATCCCTGCTTGTTCAGAGCTGAGAGCTTATGTTTTTCTTTACACACGGACAGAATAAGGGAGGATACCCCTTTCCTCTGTATGCCTTGGGTCTCACGGTAGTCCACACCCATTTGTCAGCCTGAGACTGAGCAGAAAAAAGCAGTTCTTGCCAAAAGCCAGCCAAATCTCCCCTCTCCTAACAGAGGGTGAGGACCTGGCTCTACTTTGGTTCACAGGATTTTTTTCTTAACAACTCAGTCTTTAAGAATCCCAGATTGTTAAGATTACAACTAACTACTTGTCAGAAAACAACTGTCACCTAATTCACTCCCACGGGTCTCGTCGTCCACAGGTATACACAGGGGTAGTGGGCGAAGTCTGTGATTCTCCACATTCAATTTTACGGTCCTCTAGTTGTTTTTTTATAGCTGTCAAATGCCAGTGAGCATATATGCACAAGGGGAAAAAAAAATAAAACAAAAAACCAACCACCTCCACAAACACACTGCAGCCTTCCATACATATTTATTTATACACTCACACACACTTTCTCTATAATCCTTCACTCACGCAGACGTACCCATCACTCGCACAAACACGCACACACACGATATATCTCACAGAACACGCATGTAAGCACCCGGAGAGACTCGGGAGCACAAGCCCCGGCTCTCCCTACGCGCGGCACAGGGAGACCACCGCCACTCCCACGCCCTCCATTGTGCTCCAGCCCCGGAGCGCACCCTCGCACCCGCACGGCCCCGTTACCCGTGAGGCTGCGGAGGACGGTGCCGTGAGCCCACAGGCTCAGCACTTGCTGCACCGACAGGTTGATCATGGAGTTGTCCCCCGTTTCCACCTTCATGGTGCCGCCGCCGGGCGGGGTCCGGCAGCCGCCGGACCGCGGGGCGAGAGGGAGACGGCGGCGGCGAGCAGCGAGAGGGCGGGGAGGCGGCGAAGGGAGCTCCGCGCCGCGGTGGAGACATCGAGGACGGAGTGGGGGAGGCGGCGGCCGGGGGGAGCCGGGCGATCTCGGGGGAGGAGGGGAGCCGGCCGCTGGCGCTTCCCCGCCGCTCAGGGGCAGGGCCGGGCGGCGGAGCCCATCATCATCACCACCACCACCATCATCATCATCATCATCGCCGCCGCCTCCTCCATCAGCTGTGGCCGCCGCCGCCTCGCCGGCGGCATCATCACCCCGGTCACCGGCATCACCTGGAGCGAGGGCGGGGCGGCGGCGGGCCGTCCCTCAGGCGGGCGGCTCCATGCGGGAGCAGCAGCGGGGAGGCTCCCGGAGGGGAGCGGGAGCAGCGGGAGCTGAGGGAGCGGGAGGGCGGCCCCGCGCAGGCGCGGCCGGAGGAGCCGGGGGAGGAGTGCGGGCTCCTCCCACCAAACGGAGAACCAGAGTTCGGAATCACAATTTGACTCAAAGGGAGCGGGAAAGACTGGGCATGTCGTGGGAGCCCAAAGAAACTTGCGTTAGCAAGAAGTGTGTCAAATAAAATCTGTACACACACATGCGTAGATCTAAAGGGGAAAATAAAGTGATAACACTCCATGGTATTAAAGCTGGTATATAAGCTGATGCTTATATACCATATATATAAGCTGAGGGCGTTTAAGCATCGGAGAAGAGCAAAATGCAGAATCTGAGTTCTGATAGGAGCAGTGTGTTCACCCTGCTGTCCCTCTGAGCCTCGTAGCTCCACCGTCACTGTGGCCGCAGATTAAAGCCACCGAAGGTTAGAAAACGTCAGAAATCGTAAGCGAATCTTTATTCCGTGCCTTTGTGGTTTTTATATAATATAGAGCGTCTTTAAGCTGGACTCGGCTTCTTTCTTTTAAAACTTCTTTTCTTTCGAATCACGGGATGCACGGTGCTTACCGATGTAAAAGCCAGCAGTCATCCCCCATCCATTCTTAAATTCGCATCCCTAGGCCACATTTAGTGCACACACTTCCTCGCTGGCATTTCTTCAACAGTGCTTGCTACAGAACTTCGTTAACATCATTTTATGTCAGCATCCTTTGATGGAAAGGGTTGAAGAGGCAAAGCACCTCATAATAAAATTTGCAATTTATAGATGAAGAGCCATGACAGATAAATCAACTTATCTGTCAAATCAACTTATATCCTGCTTGATGCCAATGACCGATTTTTTTCAGATAGATTTTTGCAGGATGTCTGATTCAGGGGAATGCTCCCAAAGCCTTTTGCAGCTGACAGTGCTTGGCATTTCTGCAAGTAGGTATCAAGCCAGGCAATGAGAAACTCACAGGGAACAGCTCCCTAGGGGGCTCTGGGTTTCACTGATTAAGCACGGGATGTATCACTGATGGAGAAAGAACTCAGCTGCTGGGCCAGGTCCCTGTTCCATGATCAAGGGAAGGACCTCTCTCCTCCTCTTCCTGTAATCCCACCGCTTTACAGTGTGTAATTCAGGCCTTACAGAAAACAGTTCCCTTCATTATACAGTAGTGATTCATTTTTAGGGCAGAATTATTCCATACTTGTAGGGCTAAGTGAGTGTCTTAGTTTAGGGCAAATTAGGAAGGAAAACTCCAAATGGGGATTTCCCCAGGGAAATGCCCCTCCCCACTAACTGGTCCGGGAAAAGAAAAAATTCCTTAGAAGTGGAAAAAGCTGTTTATTTAACAGAAATTGAGTAATATTAAATAATAAAACCTCTTGCTGTTCGATGGGATGGCAAGTCTAGGAAGAAAAGTCCTTTTCATGTGGTGTAGCTCGGCTCGCTCAGGTTCTTATCAGTCCCTCCGGCGCTGGAAAGTGCCGAGGCCCAGGCCCCGGTGGGCCACAGGCGTGAGCTCCCGGGGTTTGGCTGGGTGTTCAGTCCAGAGCAGGCTTGCACAGATCCAAGAAAATTGGGAAAAAAACAAACAAAGGTCCAGGGAACTCCTCTGCCTCAGCTAGCTAAAACTAACTAAAAGCCAGAGAGAAGCTCTGTCCCGCTGTCTGTCCATGCTGCAGACACCACAGTCCAGGAGCGGGATGTGTGGGAGTGATGTTTTTCTTTAACACAAACTGCGGCTTCTTCTTCCCCCTCTCTTGCTCTCAAAGCCAGTTTTAAAGGTGCAGAACTCAATATATAACATAAACCAGACGATTGGGGATACCAGTATCATAAAGTCACCCCAGGACAGTGAGAAAATAGCATGTAATTTAAATTTGAATATGAAACATACAATGAATTGTTTAGGAACAGTTTTTCTGGTTTATTCTTTTTAACTTCTGCATGCCAAACTCTGAGAAAACAAACATTTTTAAATGCCCTTTAAAAAAAAAAACATCCCAGCCCCAAAATTTATTTTTTGCTGTAGACCAATGTCCCAAGAACAAGGTATACTCTGCAGAACACTGTGGTGTAATCAAACTTACTGTAAAAAGGAAGAGTACTTTTGGTGACCATTTTCTCTAATGAATCTCCTACTGACAGATGTCAGCAAGACTACCTGATAGGCCAGAGGCACGCATGGAAACATGCATGGATCTGTAAGCAATGCTGCAATGGTGCCTGCTGACCTTTCTGCCTGCACATGGATGATTTTTTCTGTTCCATACAAGGAAGAGTGCATGGGGAATACTGGCTTTGAAGCACTTTGTGTTCAGAACTTGCTGGAATACCTTCTTCAAGGTTTTACAGTAGAAGTACAGGACACACATTCACATAGAGGTCAAGAGGGTATCTCTGTAGTCTGCAGACTCTTGCAGTATTTGTTCAGGACCATTTTTCAGGATTTTGCACATGCCTTCTCCTTAGAGACAGAGATTTGGAAACCTGTCTAGCCTCCCTGAGGGAGGGCTGATCATTCTGCAGCAGTGCAGGGACAGTGGGAACACAGAGCTGCTCCTCTCAAGCCCTAGGAGAACAAACCAGCTTTCTTCTGAAGAGAGATCCCCCAAAACCACAGTCCAGCTTCCACTGAAACTCCCTGTGAGAGGCTAAAAATGGTTATCAAATCTCAGGCATGCAACATCTAAATTGACCTTTTCTATCAAAAACCTCCAACACACTGGGACAGTGTACAAGTGATAAAGGGACAGAGACTCATCATAAAAGGGGACATAATTCATATAATTTTTTCAACTTAATCCTCAATCCATCATCCAGCAGGTGAGCTGGATACAAATTTGAATACAAATTCATCATGTGAAAACAAGGCTAACTGGATTATTCAGGAAAATAAAGTACTGACTTTAAAGCAAAAAAACCACAGGGTTGGTACATGGCAGTGATGTTTCCCAGCAGCACAATACTGGGAGGAGGTCATTCTGGAGGAACAGAATGCCTTAACTGAGGCAGCCAAAATGAAAACAACCAAAATTCACTCTTGCAAACTATAGCTTCGTAGGAGCAGGGAATTGCAGCCAACTCTGTCCTCAACAAGACGTCCCACATGGGTGGTGTTGCCACAGAAGTCCTGAGTGTACCAGCTACCTGCAGGGATTTTTATAAGCTCCGTAGGCAGCAATGTTCAGAGGCACAGCGATGATGGCAAGGGATTCCCAGCAGAGCTTAGGTTGCTGCTGAAACTGTGACTCAGAGGAAGAATATACCACAGCTGCTTGAGCAAGGCAAGCAAAGGTGGTGAGGGCTGAAAAGATCTCAGGGAGGAGAAATCACAGTGGGCAGCACTGTCCTGATAATTAAAACAGGAAGGAAAGAAAATAAGAAAAGAAAAATACCTAAGAACATAATCTCAGAATTTCATCAGATAAAGTAGTTCCTTAAATTACTAATGGTTCAGAAAAGAGAAGCAGTCTTTTAGCAAGGGCCTGGTCAGACCACTTCCACCTCTGTGGCACCTTGAGGGTGGGGAGGACAGGCACAGCAGAGACTGTGGGGATGGATCAGGGAAGGTGACGGTGTCAGAGAGGGTTTGCTGGTGGGGTGGCAGAGGGAGGGCTGGCAGCTGGGGCATAACCAGCTCTGATAACCCTCTGCAGAGCAGGGATCAGGAGGAGCCTTGGAACTGCAGGGAAAACAGCAGGGGAGGTGAGACAACCTGACAAAGAAGCCTTCACAATTTGTATACAAATCCTATGCTTCCACTGCTGTGTGGTATTCCAGAGGCCAGGACACAACCCTCATGATCTGCCTGACAGCCAGCCCTGAACCACCACAAACACCCGAGAGACTCCAGGCCTCCTCTACACATCCAAACCTGCTGGTGAAAGGGTCCATGGGGAGCACCTGAGAGCTTATACAGGGACTGATCTTCATACCAGATGAGCTAATTTTCCTTGCCCCACTGCCCTATTCCCTCATAGCAGCTGGGAGGTTTGGGAGCTTCCCTGTGCTGCGTGTGTGCAAAGCACTGCAAGGAGCCAGCTGTAAACGCTGACTTCAGCCAAAGGAAATTAGTTTTACAGGTGGAAAAGTAGGGTCAGCTTAGTTTCTCTGCCCTTCAAAAGATCAGAATACGTCTACATAAGCTGTTATTAACTTCTGGTATTGTTTTCAGAAGCTGAAGAAATAGTGATGAATTTCACTGGAGAGCTCTTGGCTGAATAATTTTCCACTTGGAAAGGTAATGTTTTTCAAAATGAACTGATTTCTTAAGTCACATCTTTTTAGAGAAACAGACAAGACTGAATATGTTCTATTCCCATGCTCTGAAACAAGTATTTGATTTTCCATAGTGAATACAGCTTTTCATCATAGTAAAACATCAAAATCCAAGTAGCAACCCCTCCTGGTCCCCTTGAAGAACAGAATTCTCACTTGAGATCTTCTAGCCAGAGCTGGCCATGTAGATTGTCTGGCACTGCAGTTAAAGATCTGTTTTAACTGAATGGATAACCCCAGCACTGTTCATATATGCAGACATTTTTCCCCCATTTCAAAGGGGTTTTTTTTGCCTTTGACCCAAGTCACTGACAAGACCTTACAAATGCAAATAATAAA